CCCCAAAACCCCAAAACCCCAAAACCCCAAAACCCCAATTGCTCTCCAATCTATTGAAGATACGTATAATTATTATCTGTTAAATATTAAATATGTTAAATCAAGAAGGCCAGTCTTGCGACCCTAAGGAGGAACAGATGTCAGAGCAGAATAGCTCTGGTCGTGATCATTCCTATTTTAGTGCCCTTCTAGCCTCTCGTACTAGATTCTGAAAGCATGAGGGATCTTGTTGCATTAATGTAGTGAAAGGGCTTCTGAAGGGAGCCACCATTGGACTGTCAATAAAGGGCAGTATAAGTCTTTTAATAAAGCTGATAAAAACAAGGGACTTAGTGAAATCTATGAAGGGAGTTTTGACAAAAGACACGGCTAGATTTGGCCTCTTCTTTGCTCTGCTGCCGTCGCTTTATAAACTGTTTCTCTGTATATTAAGAGCTAAGAGGAATACTGATGATAAGTATAACTCGATTATCGCTGGAATCATCAGTTCTTTGGCAGCATTCCTAGACCAAAATTCTGGGAGGAGGAAACTATTTATTTACTATTTCTTTGCTAGAGCTTTCTATTCAGCTGTGATGATGATGAAGCACCATCAAGTAGCTCCTATTCCAAATAACTGGGGGCTTCTGATCTATGTTTTTATGTCAAATGTCCTCTCATTCTGGATTTTCTACGACTGGGATGTTGTTCCTCGAAGCTTGTACAACATTGCAAGCAAAAGGGCGGGATTTAGCTATAATGACAGACTCATGGTAGAATTTGTATTCAGAGAGAAAGGGAAACTGTAATTTATTATGACCTTTATAATATCTTACATCAACTTTTATTCCACTTTTGCTGCAACTTGTTATAAGTTTTGTAAAACTTCTCCAAATTAAGACTGATGGCGCAACATAGCATAAGTTTATTTTATTCATGATTTTTTATCTTTTGTTGATAGCCTTTATTTTCAAGTATAACAAAGGAACATAATGAATTTAGGTGAAAATTAGTCTTTTTCAACCTCAAGAACCAGAAAAGGGGTTTTGGGGTTTTGGGGTTTTGGGGTTTTGGGG